TGGGCTTAACTACAGGCAAGCAAGGAAGACACTGTTAAGTGTAGATCTAAAAACTCATTGTTTGTCTAATTAGCTTCTTAGCCTAACCAGAATACACCAGTTCATTCAGTCTAGTTGTTATATAGCTGCTCATAATCTAAATGACTTAATTATTCATAGGAATTAGCAAAAACTAACATTGTTATGTGCAGGTCTCCCAGAGCTGCACCGTGCTTTGTTGATGGAGCAGGTAGAAGAAGACCAGAGGAGGCCACCAAGATGATGCGAGGGCTGGAGCAGCTCTGCTGTGAGGACAGGCTGAGAGAGTTGGGGCTGTTCAGCCTGGAGAAGAGAAGGCTCCAGGGAGATCTTATAGCAGCCTCCCAGTACCTGAAGGGGCTACAAGAAAACTGGGGAAGGACTTTTCATAAGGGCAGTTAATGACAAAACAAGGGGAAATGGGTTTAAACTGAAAGAGGGGAGGTTTAGATGAGATATTAGGAAGAAGTTCTTCACTGTGAGGGTGGTGAGACAGTGTCCCAGGTTGTCCAGAGAAGCTGTGGATGCTCCTCCCTGGAAGTGTTGAAGGCCAGGCTGGATGAGGCTTTGAGCAACCTGGTCTAGTGGAAGGTGTCCCTGCTGCTGGCAGGGGGGTTGGGACTGGATGAGCTTTAAGGTCCCTTCCAACCCAAACCATTCTATGATTCTATGATTCTGTGTGATTCTCCTCCGTCCTATGCAACATTATGGGAGGTTATCAGCTTCTCAAATCCTTTACCTGAAGAAGTATGAAAATGACAATGTGTGTTGGGGGAGGAGGAAGGGATGGTCTTCCTCCAGGGTCTTGAGTTTGCTCAGAATTATTTCTGTGTGTCAGCCCTCTATTTGGGTTACAATCTTTCCTCTGCTCTTTGCCCACAAGCTTACGTACACCACGATTCTTTCCCCTTGTACAATATGGTTTCTTTTAAGGGGAAGATCCATGCAATTGGACAAAATAGCACACAGCTTAAACTAAAACACATTTGGGGATAATAGAGTTAAAACAAACCTCAAACCCCAGGGTAGCCAGAGGCATTTGAACATTCAGTTATTCTATTACAATTAGGAGACGTTAGACAATGGACTTCTGCTCCTTGGGAAAATCGTAGGCACAGGAAAGGCTTTTAAATTATTTTGAAAACGCAATTCAAAATCATCCCAGAGCAGCTATTTATGGTTCTACAGCTTGAAGTCTAACCCTAGCATCATCAACAGCAATTTGATGGGGCTACAGAGCTGCAGGCTGGGGGAAGAGTTGCCTTGACTGCCCTGTGGTCTCCAGTGGTCCCATGCTGTCCAGGACAGTGTCTCTGGGAAATGGGATGTGGCGGTAGCGTTCATGATGCCTTCCCATCTGTGGCGGGAGCAAACACTGACCACAGTGCAGGGAGATGACTGGGACCTCAGGGCTGTGTGGGGACACTACATGGTGCCAGGCAGGGACTCATGCCACACTTGATGTCCATGGAGAAATAACGAGCAGGGCAATCAACTAACCAGCAAATCCTTCTCCAGAGTTGCAGCCATAAAGCTGGGTAGGTCCAAACAGATGAGCAGCGCCAGTGGACAGGTGTAGCAGAGCCTCTTGAGGCTTCCCAAGTGCAAGCAGTTCTCATTAGAAGAGCTAACCGGGCAGGATCATAGAATGGTTTCGGTTGGAAGGGACCTTAAAGATCATCTAGTTCTCTCTCACTTACCAGTTTCCCTCTCTTACATCACTTTTTGCTCTGTCCTTTAGAATTGCAGTCTCACAGTACTGTCCCAGCCTCTTGTGCTGTTGGTTTTTTTTGCATTGCTTGTAAAGTACGTGTTCTAGGAGTCCCACCACACTGGTAAAGTGGCCTCAGTGATCACCTCCTTCCCCAGCCATCACCTTCCCACGAAGGGCTGTGAATCAGCGTTGCCTCAAATGAGGAGAATTTAGTCAGAGGAAAACAGAGAAATGTGGCCCAAATTCTGTTGTTGTTACATAAACCCCCTCGCTGAACATCTGGAGAACATCTGAAGTTTAACAAAGCAGGCCCGCAGGCAGAGGGATATTTGACCTTCCCTGTAATGGAAGCAGAAAAATTGAGACTGAAAAGGGGAATAAATATAACTAGAAATGGAAGACAGAACAGGTCCAGCATATCAGGGCCAACTTTTGGCCCAAACGCCTGACAAGGGCTCCTACAATCCTACCTGGACAGTGCCCCAGCATGAGGAGAGACAAGGCAACACACCTAAACACCAGGCATCGGGAGCTGCTGAAAGATCCCTGCTGGTCCCTGTCTTCTGGGCGAGACAGCTCTTCACCACACTCTGTTTAAAACTGTGTTTCTTCTGGGCAAACTGGAATTTAAAAGGAATGTTTTTAACTTTTCTCATGGGTAAAACTGACAAACACTCCAGAAATGAGGCTTGGAAACTAACAATATTGGTATTTTCTTCTCCTTTCAGTAAAGGGAAAAAAGCAAGGGCATGGCTGGGGCGGGGGGGGAATCAGGAAAAATCCCTCCTGCCACCTGCTTTTTTAGCAAAAAGCTGTAAACCAGCCCAAAGTCTCGGTGTCTTTTGTACCCCTGTGTTTGACAGAGCTCAGCTGGGGTGTGAGGGACACATACCCAGGAGGGTGCAGGAGCTGTGGTGGGGTCAGTCCCCTTTTCCCACCCCCCCTTTTCTGGTAGCACTGCATCCCACCAGCTGGGCAGCCCGAGCAGTAAGTGTGCAACCCAGGGGCTGGTCTGTATCATGTTCCCTTCTGTCATGTGTGATTCACACCCAGGACTCTATCAGGCCATGAAGAAATATTTCTGTAGCTGTTACAATAAGCACCTTTATTAGGGCAGACGTGAAGGCATTTTTTCCTAACTTTCCATGGAGAGGAGAGCGGGACATCTGATACAAACTGCAGCCACCCGCAGAGCCTCCCCAGAGCTGCTCCTCAGACTTTCCAGCGGTAAGTGAAGTGTCCTTGGTGGTGTGGGACAACCAGAGAACCCAACAAACATCTCAGCTGAGATGCTTGGCCAGGAGAGAGCATGACTAAGAGGAAGACATGAGACAAAGAGGAAGCAAGGCAGTGCCTCCCCGTTACAGAAACGGGAGATAAACAGTGCTGTTTGCATCCACAGTGAAAGGTTGTGACAAGCCCCTGAGATGTGCAGGTATAGCCCAAGAGCTTCCACAAAGACCCTTTAGAGCTGTTTTAGGATGTAAAACAAATGTTTGAGGAGCACTGAGTTCTGCAAAGCTGGATGAGATGTTTGACACTTCCAACACAAGCCCTGTGTGCAGAGCAGCATCCCCACGTGCGCAGGAAATGAGGAACTAAGGAGAGATGTGGAACATAAGCAGAAAGCAACCATAGCTTACCTCTTCACCTGGTGATCACCATCCCTCTCCACCTGCTCTTCTGGAAACAACACTACCTACCTGTATAGGGTTTCTTTTTGCAACCAGAAGGGAAACAGAAGCTGCGTAAGCATTTCCCATCCTTTGAGAGCTCTGTGCTCTTCTCGTAAATTTTTTATGTGCTATTTAATTAAGATAATTAACAGTATTTCTCAAACTCAGGGCATTCAATAAAAGCCAGATTTGTGATGCAAAAGTAATAGTTCTCTTTTCTTCTATCCCTTAAAGTTTTATGTGAGAAGTTCTGCTGGAATCCTCCCGGATCCCAGCAACCTCTGTTTTACCAAGTGACTTTTTGGAACATCCAAAGCCCTTGAAATTCAAGTCAGACAAACCTCCAACGAGATTGTGGAAAACAATTTATTTGACAAATTTCCAAAGTGGACAATTTTAGTATAACACAGGCATAAAATAAAACTATCTCGTACAATGGAGTTTTTGGATACAAAGTTTGGGGTGCCCATACCTGGCAATCACTGTTGCTTTCTCAGAAGCGTTTGAATTTGTAGCAAGAGCACCAATGGAAGCACTGAAATAAAATCTCACCCAGCCAAACCACATCTTCAGCGTGGTCCTGGAAACAACTGTGTAAGCACCAAGGGCCCGCATCACCCACGTAGTGATAGCACCTTTGTCAGTGTGAGTCAAAGCCCCTGGCAGATCATTGCAGCCTCTCCCTTGACTTTGCTGGGCTGTGGATGAGGCCCTAATTCAATATATAGTACAGTTAGTGGGTTTCCCTTGGGCCCAGGTGCCTGATTCCTAGATGGTCTTATAGAAACCGTCCTCCCAGAGAGCTCACTGGGAATTAGACAGCTTGGCACTTCTGAAGGAAAAAAAAATATTAAAGAAAACTAAAATCCCACTAACTGGGCTCAGAGAGATTATCCAGAATGGAGCTTGGACCATAACACAAGTCATCAGGTTATTTATGAGGTTCCTGGTTTCACTGTAGGACCATGAGATCGGTTAGTGAAGGAGTGCAGTTACATATAGCTTCTTCTAGGACTTCCCCCCTCCCCACTGGCTGCTGGCCATCTTTCATTAGGTTGGTGAATGCAAAGTGTCAGTGCTGAAGGGATGCTCCACCACCCACCTCCACCCCAGCCCTGGGAAGTCAGTGCCCCATCCCAGGGCACTGGAGGCCAGAGGTGCTCCCACCTGTGCCTAGTACACAGGTGGTTTGGAAGTCCAGCTCTCTCCCCGCAAGGGTGGGAGATGTGAACCCAACTTGCCAGCCATGACAATGATCCCCTCTCAAAGCTTGCTGAAGTTGTTGAATGTTTCAATCCAAGCACAGCGTTGGGTTAGGACCATTGTCATCTGGGCAAGTGCTCAGCTGATGTAGGAAGGAAAAATGCAAACAAACAACAACAAAAAAAATAATCCAGTATCTGAAAAGAGCATGACCAGCCTTATGAGACCAGACCAGCCCTTAGTGGTACAAAATTCCTCATCCTGATCCTTTCTCAGCAAAAAACAGTGGGATGAGGTTGCTTTTGGTGTTCTGGCAGCTAGGTGTGTGTGCTCGTGTTTGCCTGCTGTGGGGAGGGAGAGGCAGTCATGGGCAGGGAGGGAGGTTTGAGGCTAAGAGGGTAGAGATGCAGATGAAGAAGCAGGGGGAGAAGGAAGAGGACTATGAAGTGCCAGGCTGTGGCACTATGGCTATCTGCATAGACACAAATTCCTCAGGTTGGTCAAGAATACTGTTAATTTTTTTTTGGTTGGTTGGTTGGTTGGTTTTCATTTTTAGGCACGACAGAAGAAGGTAGGGCTTTGGCAGCGACCCACCCGGATGCTCAGTCAACAGCTATCTTCCTGGAGACAGTTTGGTAGAAGACACCACGCAGCAAAGAGGTATAGTCAGGCACACGGAAGAGGTGGCGCTCCCCGTAGACCACATCGTAATCCGCGCTCTTCCCCGTGACCAGGACACGGATGTTGGGCTCGTTGGCTTGGCTGCCCACTGCCAACACGTAGATCTCAATGCCGGCCTGCTGAGCTTCCTGCACAGCCCTCTCGATGGCCCTCGCAGTGATCCCTTGAGAGTTGCCATCAGAAAACACCAGCACCCTCTTCTTTGCCCCAGCACGGGAGGACCGCTGGTACAGCGTCGTGACGTACCGCAGAGCGGCGTTGACATCCGTGGCGTCATTCATGAACTCCATGTTGTCGATGGCTTTCGCAATGACCGTGTAGTTGTACTGGAACTGAGCTTCCACCTTCTGCTGGTTCCTACCGCTGTACTGGACCACTGAGACGCGTACGGAGTCGTCAGCAGGCTTGCCGGCCTCCAGGACCCGCTCTGCCAGCCGCTTCACAAACTTCTTGGTGGTCTCAAAGTTCTTGCTCCCCACGCTGGTGGAGCTGTCCACCAGCAGCGTGATGTCTGCCGGTCCAGTGAAGCTGACTGCAAGGGGAAAGGCCCAGGGCGCATTATGCTACGTTTCTCCTCCTGCCTCTCACATGGAAAGTCAGTGAAGACACCGGCTGCCTCACAGGCTTCCTGCCTTGTCAGACTTGGGAAATCTCCACTCTCTGGGTATCTGCTAGCTGGGCTTCCCCTGCCCCAGTGCTGCCCTGCACTTGTCCCTTCACCCTTTCATTCCTTCTTCTATTTGGTTTCTGACAAGCTGCATTCCCAGGTACTTATCTGGCTTAGATAATCTAATGACTCTCAGCAATTGTTTTCCTTGACTTACGCTGTCCTTGCATGTCTGGGGACACGCCACTTCTCCCGAGGTTGGCTTCTTTCCGTGATGAGTCTGAGGATTGTATATGCTTCTGACTTGGAGGTTTACCCCACTAAATTCTTCCCTGTACTCACTTTTCAAGTGCCTTTCTTAAAAATCCCTACCACAGAGCTGACTTTTGCTTGTGGTCCCACCACCACAACGCAGCTGAGCTCATTACCTGCCTCAGTTAAATCTTGTGTGGGCTAAATCTGGCACAACCTCCTTTCTAGGTTTGAAGTGCCAGAAAAGCAACTGTCTGGGCTTTTCCTCCAGATGCTTTGGGCTGGTGTGTGTGGGGGAGACACTGTGAGCATCTGACAAGGCTTGCTCACTTCTCCACTTGTGGTCCCACCACCACAACGCAACTGAGCTCATTACCTGCCTCAGCTAAATCTTGTGTGGGCTAAATCTGGCACAACCTCCTTTCTAGGTTTGAAGTGCCAGAAAAGCAACTGTCTGGGCTTTTCCTCCAGATGCTTTGGGCTGGTGTGTGTGGGGGAGACACTGTGAGCATCTGACAAGGCTTGCTCACTTCTCCAGCCCAGGAGACTTCTTGCTGAGAGAGGTCTCTGAGCTCTCTGTTCCTACAACCCCAACTCCCACTTCCCCCACCACAGCACCCACAACCCCTTCACGTGACACAAGGGGTCAATACTCACTTGGGCAGGTGTAGTCTGGACATTTCTTCTCTGTTGAAAAAAGTAGAAAGAGTAATGTCACTGGCTGACCCAGGAGAAATCACTTTTTCTACAGCACAGCTTTCCATGGAGCCACAGCAGGGACAAACGTTCACCTTGGTCACAGGCACATGGTGTGAGGTGCTGTGCAAGGGCTATAAGCATGCACCAGGAAATGCAGAGGTGCATGCTTGAAAAATGCTGTGGACAGAGATGTCCTGCAGCAGGAGAGGACCTGGACCTGGCTACAAAGTGTTCCGAGACACGAGACATCCTTGGCCCTTGTTTAACTAAATCTTGAATGCTGTTCTCTTCCCTCAGTGCCTGCTTAAGAGCATGACTGGAGGAAGGGAGGTCAGCCTGCATCCCTCACCCTTGGGCTGAAGCAATCCTCACTACCTTCCTCATTGCCTCCAGCCACAACCTTTCACTCACCTTGGCAGACATAGGAGGTGATGTTCTGCAAGAAGGTGTCATCCAGGAGCTCAGCATAGTTGTCCCTTTGAATGGACAGTCCTGGCCTGGTTGGTCTGCTTAAACAAGCGATGTCATTCAAGTGATCTGGATTTGGAGGGTTCCGGAAAATATCACCTATCCCAAGGGAAACCACCTGCAGGGAAGTCAGAGTCCATCACTGGATGCATTCATCATCCAGTGCATTCATAGACTTGAACATCTTTCACTCCAGGAGGGTGACACACGTCCCCCCTGCCCTAGGCTTGGATAGCAAAGACATGGAGACCCCCAGGCAGCCTGCACTATGCTGGTGCAGGGCTGCTGTGTGGCACAGGGTGCTTCCCCTGTGCCCTTACCGGGGTGACATCGCACAGAGAGTTGAGCGGGGTGGGGTCCCGCAGCGTGTCGGAGCGTCCATCCGTGATGACGATGGCAACGCGCTTGTCAGAGGTGAATCTCCGCAGTAGGTTGTCCTTGGTGAACTGCAGAGCTTCTCCAGTGTAGGTGCCCCCAGCTATCCATTTCAGGTTCTTGATTGCCCTGCAAGCACAGACACCAGTGATCCTGCAAGCTCTGCCCCACGGATAGTGAAGGAGCTGCTGGGAACACGTATCCCCAACACAAGAGAGACATGGACCAGTTAGAACAAGTCCAGAGGAGGCCACGAGGATGATGCGAGGGCTGGAGCAGCTCTGCTGTGAGGACAGGCTGAGAGAGTTGGGGCTGTTCAGCCTGGAGAAGAGAAGGCTCCAGGGAGACCTTCTAGTGGCCTCCCAGTACCTGAAGGGGCTCCAGGAAGGCTGGGGAGGGACTTTGGCCAAGGGCAGGGAGTGACAGAACAAGGGGTGATGGGTTTAAGCTGAAAGAGGGGAGGTTTAGATGAGATATTAGGAAGAAGTTCTGGACACTGGAACAGGTTGGCCAGAGAAGCTGTGGCTGGTACCTCCCGGATGTG